CAAGACAAGATCTCAGATGACAAGGGAAAAATCACTAACAGTAAAAACCAGAAATGAGAAACAACTATGTATATATATGTAAAGGAAAAAGTGGACTACAGCCACAGAGCTCAGGACTGCACCAGGGGAAAAGTCAGCTGACCACCACTGTTTCATATCAGGTGGGGTTCTTGCTGTGTCAAGGCCAGTGGCTTCCTAAAGTAACACACAAGATTTTGTTGCCTAGATTCCTTGTGAACACACTGAACATACACATCAGCCAGGTGAGCTACTCCCTTCTTTCGTCAAGGCAACCCTTGCGCTTGGCCCTGCCTCTGTAGCTGCAGCTACAGAGTTCAGTTCTTCCTTTATTACTTTTTAAAGATTTATTTATAATTATGTGCATTCGTATATGTCTGTTTGGGAGCATGTGCATATGAGTGCAAGTGCCCACCGAGGCCAGCAGGGGGCATCCTATCCGCTAGAGCTAGAGTTCCTGAAGTGGATCTCCTACAAGAGCAGCCTAGGTTCTGAGACATTTATCCAGCCCAGAATTTTGAATTATTAAACCATGCATCCTTCTTATATTACTTTTGCTATTACAAAACCAAACAAACGAAACACTGTTCTGCCTTAGAGCTGCTAAATGCAGTCAGAACGGATTGATAAAAATGCCCAGTTTAGAACACCAAACCATTTCACAATGGCTGTTTAGGTTCTTACTGAAACAGAAATGCTTGTGTTTAAATCAGGCTGGCAAAGGGATCCTGCCTCTAAAGAGGTATTTAATCCAGGGTCCAGAGGAAGTTTTGTGATGATTAGGAGTGGGCTAAGAAAGGCTGGGCATGAAAGCCGCAGCCTGATCTGATTATCATCTTTGCAGCAGGGGTTTCTCTACTGTTATCCACTCTATCTATCTATCTATCTATCTATCTATCTATCTATCTATCTATCTATCTATCTATCTATCTATCTATCTATCTATTTTCCTAGCAGATATGTATTTCCTATCTACCTCCTGCTTCTTCTACTGCAGGTCTACCCAGGTGCCACAGCTGTGGTCCATTTTTATATTTTCCCACGTCATGGTTGCACAGAAACCTGCAGCAATCGCTTGAGGGTAACAGCAGACTGAACCCTTCTACACTAAAGGCTGCACACACCTCTAGCATCGTGCCTTCTGTCTCTCAACATCTATTCTTTTCTTGTGTACTCCTCTAACATTAGGTACTCCAGACTCGTTTCCCTATCTTGTCTCTGTGTTCTCCCATATGACCCTGAAAGACAAAGTGCTGATACGTGTCCTTCCCTGGCTCATTTCAAAATGGCCATAAAATTTATAGCTGGCACAGGCTGGCCATCGCCGATCCTCTGAACGTGACTACGGCCAAGTGCTGTTTTGTGATTATCTACTGACTTATTTATAATAAACACAACAAGGTTCCTGCTGCTAACAGAGACTAGAGGGACAGTGGTTATTTGTCCTGAAAGCACAGGGGCAGGCTTGAGTTGTTTAACTACATGTCTTGTATGGAAAGGGAAAACACCCCCTGCCTTCGTCTCTAATAACACAAAAGTATCACCACTATGGAGAAAGTGAGGACTGCCCTGAGTCAGCATGGGGGATGGCCTCTGAGCACAGGCTTCTGCAGCACGAGTGAAGCTGACAAAGACAAGCAAGGGATACTGATGAAGATGACATTGGTGGCAACTGTCAGCATCCTCCCGTGTGATGAAGTTAACTGTGTATAGAGGATGGATGAGAGGCTTCTGTGCAAACGATCTGTCTTGATTCCGCTATTTGAAGGGCAGGTGAGAGAAGGAATGGGTTAACTGTTTGAAAATCTGAAGGCTGTTGTTTGTTGCATTATATATGTAACTGTGTGCTTGGTTGGTTCTCTCTGGAGAGCCTGGTGTGGAGTTGGTCACTGGCTTAAGTGTATTGCTCTTAGCTCTTTAAGAGGTGTTTTTTTTTCCCCCCAGAGATAAACAAGATAATCACATGGAACAGATTTGAAAAGAGGCAGCTTAATGTTGGTTCCAGGGAGAAATCATGACTGTATCATTTTTAGGTTAAAGCCAACACCAGGGTGCTAGTGATTTCTTTAGCAGTTCACTGGCCTAGGAGGAGTCAGGATGTCTGGTCAATAAATGGCCCAAACCTCTTTCTTTTTCTAGGTGTTTCCCCAAACTTGGTTAAGGACTGAGGTTGGCCTTGGTGACAGTGGCAGTAAATGCTGAGGCAAGGTGGCTTTGCAGAGGCCAGCGCTGTCTAGTGGGGTGGTTACTGACAAGCTACTGGGGATGATGGGAGGATTAGAGCCACTCTATAAGGTTTAGGGTGCATTTCAGCTCACGACAGTGTAAGCTAGGAAGAGCAGTTATACATCAGAAAAACCTGCTGCAGCACGGTTCAAAAGGGGCTGTTTGGGAGCCTCAGGCAGGTGGCTACCTAGGTCAACTACACATGAGGACTGAGCATGGACTGATCTCATATGACAATCCACGGGATAGCATAGACCCCAGACCAACGACAGCGACTAGAACCCAGTCTGTATCTCTTGGAATATTGTGGATGTAGATTTTATCTGTAATCCATGATAAGCACCTTTGAAACCACCCTCTGCTTCCTTTCCAACGTCTCAGACTCAAGGCTGCCGTAGAAGCTCTGTCACTTCCCAGAATGCTTTTCTCATATAACACTCGACACAGGCCACCTTCCATCCCCCAGTCTACACAAGTCAGTAGCGGGTTTGGTTTTGTCTTTTTTCCCTCCCTCCTGTTTCTTTATATTTAATGTATCATTACCTATTACAAGAAGTTTAGAAACTAGTGGTTGGGGCAGGAGGCAGAGTTTCAATTGCTCCCCTGATGAGATGTCTATAGCAAACACTGACGTTCGCAAGGAGCTCACAAGTGCCATTCATTCTTTCAAGTATTTTTATATTAATTGTGCCAGAACACTTGTGGTTTAGCTTACATATTTGCAATTTCACCATACAAATAAGGTAGTTTAAGAAGGCGAGTGACTTGCCTAAGGTTGCATGGCTGGTGATGGGCAAAACTTGGTCTCCTAAACCGCAGCGTCCTTCCACAGCCTGTGCCCTTTGCATCTCCCCATGGCCGAGTGACAGCAATACCAGAGTAACTGCTGAAATACTAATGTCTAAATAGAAGGAATGAAGCTTTATCGCATCCTTATTTTTTGGCTAAATGAACCACTTGTAGACACAGATCTGCATTAACATACTGGTTACCAAAGGTTAGATACTGGTCTACAAATTAGTACTAGAATGTTCCAACTATAAGTGCTTGTGATTTGTGTGTGGGAGTGACTTTAAGGTCTTTTCATTTGAAAAATAGTTTCTGTTCCCTGCCTAGAAGATGGCAGAAAATACCACAGCTTGGGGTAAAATTTTTGAGCAAGGTATCTCTGAGTGGTTACTCATTATCCATCTCTATCTTATTTGTAAAGTAGGAGGAACGATGCAGGAAAGAGATTAGGAGCACATCAGAGCATGAGGGTTGAGTGGTCCAGACTGAGGATGTACTGAAGTCTACACACTGTTACTGTCTCCACTATCCAATGAGCCTCCTTAAAATTGGTCTTAGCATTATATCCCTCTCTCCCTTTTTTTAAAAACAAAGTCTCCTTTGCTATAAACATTTCCTTGCTTACTTTGTATAAAGAATGGAATTAAAATATCTAGTGTGAATTCTAGTTGGTCTTAATAATGAAAACCCAGAGTCAGATATTGGGTAAATGCTGAAAGATCAGAGAAGTAAAGGAGCCAGCCACTAGAGAGATTTTCTCTTCTTCCAAATCCTCAGACGGAAGGGGGCAAGATCCTGTCTCTATGAACCCTCAGACTGAATCCTGAGCTCCTGTCTCCTCCTGCCTTATATTCCTCTCCCCACCCAGTCATATCTCTTTCTGTCTATACCTCCCAAGTACTGGGATTAAAGGTGTGAACCACCACCACCTGGCTCGGCTCTGTTTCTCTTTGAGACTGGATAGTCCTAATGTAGCCCAGGGTGGCCTTGAACTCACAGAGATCCACCTGCCTCTGCCTCCCAAGTGCTGGGATTAAAGGCGTGTGCCACCACCACCTGGCTCGGCTCTGTTTCTCTTTGAGACTGGATAGTCCTAATGTAGCCCAGGGTGGCCTTGAACTCACAGAGATCCACCTGCCTCTGCCTCCCTGTACTGGGATTAAAGGTGTGTGCCACCACTGCCTGGCCTCTGTAGCTAACTAGTGGCTAGCTCTACACGCTGATCTTCAGACAAGCTTTATTTGTTAGATCACAAACAAAATATCAGCACAGAAATGCTCTGTCTCTAGGGAGATTCTCCATGACTCTTTGGGAGGCCTTAGCGCCACGTTTTCCACTGCCTTCTTGGCAAATTCTTTAAAGCTGGAGTAAATGCCCTTGAGTTAGTGACTTTCATTTCCAGTGTCTGGATGCTATGTTAAGTTACAATTTTACTAGTGAGACTTCTGTCCACTGCCTTGGTTGTTTATTGTTTCTTTTCTCTCTATTGGAATTAGAGTCTGAGTGCTTGTATAAAAGACACGGGAACAGAGAGAATGGAGAGGCTGAGAGTAGGCCTCAGACCTTACATTGGAAGCTTTGGTTTTCTTGGTTCGAACACCAGAGATTATAAAAGAATCAGGTTAAGCCACCCGATTTAAGTTATAGAAGCAGTTTGTGGGATTATTTTAAGACATCATATCCTCACAGATTAATAGGCAGGATAAATCATGCATGTGTTGTACACACACTTCATTTTTCACATAGAATAGGCACCACTATAATCAACACTACAGGCGATTGCTTCAATAACATTAGTGTAATTTGATTTGCCAGTGTGCGCCATCTTTGTCCACAGGCCAATGGAGGCCATCTACTCAATACCCATCATAAGACATTCATAAACCCTGATGTCAGAAAAGGGTTCCTGGGAACCATTAACCTAAACCGTGGCGGTTCTTACACTCTCCGCAAAGTGGGGGGGGTGGGTGGGAAAGTGCTCAGAAAAATGAAGGTGCTACCTCTACAGAAAAAGAAAAAAAAATGATTAGGCTGCTTCCCCCACTAGCTGCGAGTCTCTATAGGGAAGCTTGCCTGAACATCCTTGCTCTCTCTTGGCGCTGTAGAGGGGATGCGGCTTGGTTCATTGTGAGCATTCACGTCCCTGTGTCAGCACACTCAGAAGAACTTACCACGTCTGCTGATGACCTATTGGAACTTCAGAGTGGAGTACTCTCAAGTGCTTGTGTGAACGGAGACGGAATCAGATGTTTTCCAGAGGAGACACTGCAGGTCTGGGCCCTGTGTAGAGGAGCCAGTAGCTGTAGGGATAGCCCGGTGAAACATCTGCTTCAAAACAAACCAAAGGATGGACCCAAGGGCCAACAGACAAGTGATGATGTTGGGGTTTCACCCTCTCCCCTTCTGGCAGTGAAGGCTCCGTTTCCCTTTAGAAAATCCTAACCACACCCATTGCTATTCCCATGATCTCAGCTGGGTTCTGAGACGGTGACAGGAGCAGGTGAATGCCTTCAGATGAGATGCTGAGACTAGTTGGAAGGTCATTTGGTGCCGCTCCTGTCCTGTTTGGTCTAAGAGGGGGGAGCCTGCTTGAGAATAAACCAGCACGGGGACAGCCGGCCTGCAAACAGAGAAAGAACCCAATACCATTGTACAATTCATCTGCGTGCACGTGCCTTTAGTTCTGGGGGTTGCAGGAGTAAATCAAGTCTCTTTGCTGCGTACTGTTTGACTCAGAGCTCTGTTACTGGCACCAAGGAAATTCATTAATCCAGGGCTGCCCTTCAGCCTCCAGCGAGCATTTCCATTCTCTCTGTCTTGCCTTTTTCTACATTCCAGCTCCAAAAAGACTTTGCCACGTCCTTACAGCAGGAGTGTCACTCCACCGTGCCCTTACCAGTAGGGACTAAAAAGACTTGGGTTTTGTTTGTTTGTTTGTTTGTTTTAGCTTTCCTTCTGCAGTCTCCTGGCTGGTTTCTAGGGAGAAGGCAATCTCATTGACCGAGAGGGTCCCAGAGAAGGCAGGAAGAAGAAGAAGAAGAAACTCTACGGTCCCCCTGAGGAAGCTGGCTCTGAGACAGCCCAGAAGAGTCATCTCGAACCAGAGTGTTCCAAACCGAAGCTGTCCTCCAGCTGGCAATAAACAGAGCGAGCTGCACACTGCAACGCTTGGAGGCTGCCAGTTCCTGACAGCGCTGCCCAGCCGCGGCTGGAGATGCTGGGCGAGGGAGGGCTTGAACAATGCCTTACAGAGACAAAGTGTTTGGATGCCAACCCTTTGATTTTGCTTCTGTGCCTTTGTCATTCTTGTTTCCCTCACCACGCTCCTTTCCATTATGGCTCTTTTCTTTGTCTAAAATTGGACCCACAGAAACGAGCTGCAGTCAGACACGAGAATCCCTAAATTGCTCTCCTTTGATTTTCTACTTTATTAATATTTCAGCATGTGAAATGGAGAAAGGAAGCATCGAGATCACGGGCCCTTTGATTTCACCGCGCTACCCTCTCTGATCTACTGCGTGGAAAGTCTGAAGATGCATCGCGGCATCCGAAGCTGGCATCTCTACGTCCATATGTGGTACATTACGTAGGCAATTGCTTCAGTCCTGCTAGTGCTGGGGAAACCTTCAGCAGACATCACTCCAATGTGCCTGGGAGGGAAACAAGTGTGAAGGTTTATTTGCACACTGGGGAAATTGGGAACTAGCAATATTGCAACGTATTGATAAAGATGAGGCTTCCTCCCCAAGCTTGCTTAGCTTCACGACCCTCAACTTCTGTGGCAACTTGATGTGTCATTGAGGAAGGCCGTTGTCTGTCAGTGATCTTCACATGGAAGGAAGGTATAAAATCAAAGGCTTTTTTTTTAGCAAACGGAGCACTCCCAGATACGAGCGGGCAACTAACAAGCCACTTAGAAGCGGCAGGCAGCTGTATGCAGCACTTTTCCATGTGCCAAACATTTTATGTTCATCCACTTTCTTTGGTCCGAGCACCCGAGACTGGAATCATTTCATGTTTCCTCATTTAGTAAGGGAAGAATGGAGGATTAGAGGACCCAAGCCGCCTGTTGAGAGCCAAGTGAAAGGTGAATCTGAAGTTCAGAGGAGGAAGGAAAAGTGATGGGTTGGGGCACCTATTCTTAAAGACCCTCAACCCAAGAGCTGGGATGGGGAGAGAATTAGGCAAAATCATCTGCTGTGCTGTTGGCTTCTGACAACTCGGGAATGGCCTGGGAGGTGTTAAAGACTGAACTGTGGGAGTTGGTTAGGAATGTCTGAAGCACATTGCAGTGAGCCCTGGTGTGGTGTCTTCTTACTGACGGCCTGGCAATTGCTAGTATGCCTAAGACACTCTGGCACCTGCTCCAGTTCCCTCCCCCTTACACACACCCCAACGGAGATCAACCTGGAACACTTCGGGCTGCTGCTTCTTCTTTTTTTCTGTGACTTTACACAGTCTTTTCTCCCACTCAAATTACCTGTCCCACTTCTCACTCCATATCAGGCTCAAGTATAAGTCATCTTTCTTCATGACATGTTCTATTTGACATCTGGACCAATTCATCTTGGTTTTACCCCTTGGGGAGAACTCCTGGAAACAAAACCACTGTGTTTTTGTTCACCATGGAATGCCCCCATGCCCAGATGGATACCTAGCGAATAATAAGTGCTTCGTTGATAATTAGTAAATAAATGAATTAAATTGCTTATTAGTCACTGTCACTAAATATCAATCAAATCAACAGCTATTGGGTTAAATATGACTAAATGAAGCTAAAACAACAGCCATTGTTCAGCCCTAAAGGAACTGATAATATCAAACGTTGACTTGCAAGGAAGAGCATGATACATTGGAGACCTGTTATCTAAAAAGACTGGGATATTGGATTTATTTTCTCACCTCTTGTAATTGGAAACATCCTATGCTGTAGGGAGCCGGGCAGATGGCTCAGCAGTTAAGAGGGCTGACTATTCCTCCAGAGGCACCAAGTTCAGTTCCCAGCCCCCATATCAAGTGGCTCAGAACTTCCTATAGCTCTAATTACAAGGGATCTGTTGCCCACTGGCTTCAGATAGTACCTGCAAGCAAGTGGTGTATGTAATCCCATGTAGGCACACACACGCATATACACATAAAGCTAAGGAAATGTTCCTTAAAAAAGAAATAGCCTACATTATGACCCGGCCCCTTTTCCCCACACCTAAAGCAATTATTCATGTTACATTTATCTTTCTTAGGTGAGGCATCTTGGTATTTTTTTTTTAATTTTACTCTACTTTGTACTTTTTATTTCATCAAGACGCAAGGAGTCTCTGAGTTGATTGCACATCTCTCTGATGGGTGCGAGCACCTGCTTGGAGGGACGAGGAGTATGGACTTTGGAGTCAGAACACTGGCTGGTTCTCCCACTTGCTGAAGGCACAACTTTGGCCCAATCATGCTTGATCATGGTCTCTCTGGTAGATCAACCAGGAATATTCAAGTTCAGCTTTACAGAACGGCAGGGCTTGAGGTAGCCCTTGAAGAATGAGCGCTGCAGTAGTGGCAGGTGTATGCAGTTAAGGGTTGGCAGGGCTTGCAATCCGCTACACCTACTGCAACCCACTTACTGCCTGCTGAAAGACGGCGGAGAACTTTATCTCGTTGCCAGCCTCAGCTTTTCTTTTTCAGGTTTAGCAAAATCGACTAGACAGTTAACATGAGGAAGAATGGACTGCATATAAATATATACTTTGTGTCACAAAGAAGAGCTTAACCAATGAAAGCTGTCTTTATTAGGCAGGATTTGCTTATAGGGTATATGAGTCAGACCTCAGTCTCTTTTTCGGGGCCTAATTAAATTTGCAATTTGTCGTCTTCAGTGGACGGAATTGACAGTCACATTGAGTGCGGGCGTGGAGATGGCACTGAACAAATGGAGCTGATGGGCTTTATCATTAATTATCTTGAGTCGTTCCAAATAAAATGACAGAATGATGTTGGATTTCAGTTATCAATCATACTTTAGTGTTAGAGTTTGTCCAACACAATTTCTTCTGAGCGAGCAGTTTGGCTTTCCCCCAGGCTAGTGAAGAGCAAATTTGCCTTACTTAGGTACCATCAGAACTTCCTCTTGGCCTTTGATAAGTACCATGGAATAGCAAATGACAATGAGGCCAACTCATGGATTGAGCCTTAAATCCAGTCAGATAAACTGAGGTTGTTTACTCCCATGATGCGTATGCCACTATTACACCAATGTATCTATTATACAGGCAGGTCATTGTTTTAGACCTCAGGGTTTGTAGCTGCGTTGGTGGGTACCTTTCTCCCCTGGTAGTGTGCAGAGTGCCTTCCAGTGCTGTTTTAGTTAGGGTTTCTATTGCTGTGAAGAGAGCATGACCACAGAACTCTTATAAAGAAAGACATTTAATTGGGACTGGCTGTCAGTTGCGAGGTTTAGTCCATTATTGTCATGGTGGGAAGCATGCCAGCATGCAGGAGAAGGAGCTGAGAGTTCTATATTCGAACCAGCAGGCCACAGAAAGAGAGTGAGACACATTGCTTATGCCTGAGCTTTTGAGACCTCAAAGCCTGCCCCCTAGTGCCTCCAACAACACCACACCTACTCCAACAAGACCACACCTCCCAATAGCGCCAGTCCCTGTGAGCTTATGGAGCCATTTTTATTCAAACTACCATAAGTACTGTGAACACTAGTTAGTAGGAGTGAAGGTTCTACTTAAGTATCAGCTCAACCTCTCTGTGTTCAAAGAGATATGTAAGTATTGTCTTTGGCAATAGGGTCTTCCTATCAGTTTGTGGAAAGTGACCAATAGCCTTGTCTTGTTAATAGAATGGGATGTTTGGGAGTTTCCATGGGGCCCCTTTGAGCAACAACTCAATTAGATGTAACCCACTCCTGGCACTGGAATTTCACATGGTGGCAAAAGATGTCTGGTTGTCACATTGTCTCTGGTGTAATTTGGCGATTCCATTTAGATTTCTTTCATACATGTGTGTTGTTTTAAGAAGCTTCTACAGAACTAGGTTTCCATATTCCCCCAAAATGGCTCTTGATACTAGCTGTCACTCACCTACTCCCCTCTCTTCTCCCATTTAATCCCCATTCCATATATAGTTTCTCCATAACTATATATTCTATTTCCCCTTCCTTGAGAGATTCTTCCCTCCCAAACTTTATCCATGTGTTAAAAGTAAGGTATCAGATACTTAGGAAATTGACAGTTGAGGAACACAGCAATGTCTCATCCTTGTTAGCCTTCCTCTCAGGGCAGTGCTTGCTCATCTAACCCAGAGCAGCCTCAGGAAGTGAGTCGGGCAACCTAGAAGTACAGATATGGAAGCCCTGATATATATCCATCTGGACAGTGTTAAAATCAGTGTAATGTCAACCCCAATGACCAGGACAGACTGCAAAAGCAGTAAGAGAATGAGACTTCAATTCAGGAAACAATGTGACTAGACGTTTGGAGAGAGGAAAGAATCAACACGATTGGTTCGTTTCTGTGAACAGAAGAGAAAGCATTGATTGGCAGCAGAAAGAGGAAAACTGAAGATTACGTAATACAGTCTGGAGAAATGTTCTCAATTGACGAGGCTCAAATTTATTCTTCTCTTGGGCAGCATGTGGGTCACATGACTTCGCCTTGGTAGAGATAAAACGAGTCCAGTGGACCACGGTCATTTATCCTGACTGCCATTCCTGCGGCCCCCTTTTATTTGCTGATTTGGCTCTTCGGTCATCTAATTCTGGGAAGCAGGGGCTCTAGGTGGATGACGTTGCTAGTTCAGATATCTGAAAAGGTCTATTAAATTACCTTCCGCTTTATACATCAGTTACAGTGGGCTAAATTGCATTAGTGCCTTTGTGTCTGACATTTCTGAAGTCCTCGCTTTCTGTTTATGGACCTGAGAGACGGTGATCATTCCTTGCCTGTCAAGAATTTGTGGACTTTCACACAGCAGGGATACAGTTCACATGCATTTAATCAAAACAAAAGTTTATCGATTCATTTAACTTGTGTGTTCACATGTGATGAACATTTTGGTAAGTAACATGCAGAGGCCTCAGTAATTTCCTGAGGACCCTGCACTTCCTGCATTTGGGTTCTGCCGTGCTGAAGATACTGTACTCGGATGCTAGGCTCCAATTTGCTAAGACTATGACACTCTTTCTGCTGCTAGGCTTCATCCTGTGCATCTTTCTCTCCATCTTCATTTAGACTTTCTTTTCGTCTTGATAAAACGCTTGCTATTAATCTATATGAGTTCAGAATTCCCAATCACCCCTTTAAGAAAGAAGACAAATCTATTTTCAAAACTTCCCAAATCTGGTCCAGTATCAAATTGCTTTGTGTCAAATGGTTAAACTTGAGCTAATTGCTGGATCAAGAAAAACACAGGGTGTTGTGATTGGCATGAGGTCTGGATCCTGAGACCTCGCTGGAGGGGAGCTGGAGGGTGGCAGGGCCCTTCCTAAATCACAAAGTTCAAGAAGTCAGAAGAAATGTTTCCAAGGTAAGACCGTGGTGGTAGTGACATCAGATGAAGAATCAGAAGCTACGTAGGAAGGCAGAACACATGCTCCCCACTACATTCCTGAGGGGTTCATTTTGCATCACCCAGTGACTCCGGACTCACCATT